GGATGGATGGATGGATAGATGGATGGATGGATGGATAGGTGGGTGGTGGGTGGATGGATGATGAATGGATGGATGGATGAGTGGATGGATGGATGGGCGTATGAGTGAATAAATGCCTTACTCGATGTTGTGTCTTCAGGTCTAGCACAGGTCACTGAACATGAAAGGTGTTCAGGGAATGGGTGATAGAGAACATGAAAGAAGGAAGAAACACAAGTAAGTAAAAAGGGTTTGAGCCATCAGGTCATGGTTACAGAAGTAAGCATGAGGCACCATGCCCCCACCCCTGCTTCCTCACATTGGTGCAGGCACACCTTCACAGAGCTGGGCACATCGCAGGCCTCAGACACTGGCTGCCTGAGCAAGTTCATGAAAGATGTCCTGTTTTCGCTTTGCTCCAAGGCCACGGTACAGGTGCAGTCCCTGCCCTATAAGGTACACTTTTTGGGTTTGGCCCTAAGACCTCCTCTTCTCCACAAGTCAGTGCAGTTTTCCTGTCAAAGAGCCAAAAAGGGAGCGGTCGAGGCTTTGTGGGCCTGACCACCTTACCTCTGCTGCTGTAATGTGAAAACAGCCATGGAGAACACATGAGCGGGTGTGGCTCTGTTTGTATAAAACTTCATTTACGGACACCAAAACACGGATTTCAGGTAACGTACTCACGTCATGAAGTATGGCTCTGTTTGCTTTCCATTTCCAGCCATTTAGAAATATAAAAACCACTCTTAGCTCGCAGTCCCTTCTGACTCAGATGGCAGGCCAGACTCGGTCTGTAGAATGTAATCTGCCAACCCCTTTCCGGGGGTAGGGTCCCTCCCTCGCCCCTAATATGCACATTTGGTGCATAAATGTGTACTATTCCATAAGTGACTTTCGGGGCGCCTGGGTGGCGCAGTCGGTTAAGCGTCCAACTTCAGCCAGGTCACGATCTCGTGGTCCGTGAGTTCGAGCCCCGCGTCGGGCTCTGGGCTGATGGCTCAGAGCCTGGAGCCTGTTTCCGATTCTGTGTCTCCCTCTCTCTCTGCCCCTCCCCCGTTCATGCTCTGTCGCTCTCTGTCCCAAAAATAAATAAACGTTGAAAAAAAAAAATTAAAAAAAAAAAAGTGACTTTCAGCATTTGGTAGATCGTGGCCACGTTTCCCCTTTGCCTTTCCTGACCGACGTGCCAATCACGTGTCTGTGGGGTTCAGTCAGCAAACGCCGCAGTGATGCCATGGAACGGACCTCCCCGGGTCAGGCTGTCCCAAAACAGACCCGACCTTCACCCCCACGGTCAGGCCTGCGTGGGCCGGCTGCCCCACGGAGGGGCCGGGGCAGGACGGCGTGGCCTCCAGGTGAGCTCTCGTCCAGGGCGCCTGCCCCACGGACAAGAGGCCGCTGTCACACCGTGTCACCCACACCTACAGAAGTCCCAGGGCCCAGCCCAAAGCTCACAGCAGCTCGCCACCCCAGCCACCCTGAAGGGGGTGAGTGTTTGCTGAGCAACAGTCCAAACTATCACATATGTTCTTGTTACTTTCCCTAAATGACTATTAATTCCATTAATAGCCCACGGGCTCTGCAGGGCCGGGGTTGCGTTTGCGCTGTTGGCCACCAGAAAGCACTGAGCAAATATTTGTTTGACAAGAAAGGGACACCCAGCTGTCTATTATGCCATTTGCATGATATTATCGCCCCCCTCCTGGTTGTCCCCGGTGTCCCCTCAGGAGGAGTGACCAGCAGCTGTCCAGCCCCGGACGCCTGCACCAGGCTGCGGTTCCGGCCGGAACAAAACACCATGGACCAGGCCACCCGACACACGCACCCGCCGTCTCCTGGTCCCGGAGGCTGGAGGTCCAAGGCGAAGGCGTTGGCAGGGCTGGGCCCTCCTGACGCCTCTGTCCCTGGTGTCTGGATGACCATTCTCTCCCCGTGTCCTCACGAGGTCGGCCCTCTGTGTGTGTCTGTGTCCCCATCTCCTCTGCTTATAGGGACATCACTCACAACACAGCAGGGCCACCCTGCGGTCTCATGTTACCCTAACTACCTCTCTAAAGACCCTGCCTCCAAATGCAGTCACATTCAGGGGCCCTGGGGCACTAGGGCTCCCACAGATGAACCTGGGGGCGGGGGTCACAGTTCAGCCCAGAACAGGGGGCCTGCTGAGGAGGTGAGCTCTGTCCCCCAAGATGGGTGAAGGGCCCAGCCAGGTCTCCAGAATCCCCACAGCCACCGAGGGTCCGCTGGGTCTTCTCAGCCTGTGGAATAAAGCGATCTCACCGTTTGGGGGGACCCGGGGAAGAGCTGGGGACCGAACGGGCCACTTTTTGCCAGTCACCCTCGTACTGCGTAACTTTTAAGACGCCAGCTGTCACCCCCACATTGAGTATTTGCATCTCTTGGCCAGCATGGTTGCTTGGAGGAAATGAACACTCACACACCAACGCACGCAGGCCCGGCCTAGTTCAGAGGCAGCTCGAAGTGCCCTTAAAGACCTGCCCGGTCCAGGAGGGCGCCCGCAGCCCTGCCCTCCGTGAGGAGCGTTGCTGAGAAACAGGGACCAGGAAGGAAGACATTTGCCGAGCACACGGGGCCCAGATCGGATCCTCCCGACGCCCCACCAGAAGGAAGCTCCCCGCATGCGCACCGGGGTGGGGGCGGGGACAGGGGTGGGGGAGGGATTACGCCTCACACTGCTGAAGCCTCGTTAAACGCTGTTTGGCATAAAGTACGGCTTGTGTTTGGAAAGGTGTTGGTTGAAGCCGGATCTTTCTGGGCATCTCGTTTATACCAAACAGGGATGGCCTGGAGGACGGCTCACAGGATGGGCAACCCCAGCGCCCCCACGGCTCCCTCGCTCGCCCTGCTGACCCCCTTCTCCTGATTCTGCCCCGACAAGCTGAGAATGAGGGGGCTGACTTCTGAATGTCCCCCAGCTCTGCTCAGACCCGGGACCCCGTGGGAAGCCTCCCGACCGATGGCACCAGAGGAGGATCCCAGGTGGGAAGGACGTCCCGGGCGCAGGCCTGCGTGGCTCACACGCCGTGGGTCCTCTCGAGGGTCCTCACTGTGTCCACTCCAGACCGGCCCAGGAACCACACAGCTGGGTCGGGTGGCTGCTGAGAAGGAAGTGGCATTTATTTGACCCCTACTGTGTACTTCCTAGCACTGAACTAGCCTTGTTGTTGCAATGATTCCAGGGGGCAAGTGGTGTTCCTTTCCTCCCTGCCTTGGGTGTCCTGCTTAAAAGGCACAACCTGCCCACAGCCACCCAGCCAGGGAGGGCAGAGCCGGGGTGGCCCCGAGGGTCTGCCTCCACATGTTCCCTAGCACAGGGGAGGAGAGAGTTCCTGCAGGAACCCACATGTAAGGCTCCACTCACGGACAACCTACCAGAGACTCTGTCACCAGGCGGGGCTGCGAGGAATCGTGCTGTGCGGTCACCGGGGCCAGCCTTGGAGAATCAGAGGTCCTCCCTTAAGGCTTGGTCAAGGAAAGCAGGGTTCGCGGCTTTACAATTGTAGGCATAAAATTTAATCATGTTCCTTGACGTTTTCAGCTGAATACTTTGGTTAACTAAACACATTGTGGCTCAATGATCTCTAATAATACGTCCCATCTGGTGCCTACAATTTAGAGCAAAACCCAAAGAAATGAAAATGCCCCCACGTATATCCATGTGTCCTCATGTGTCCCTGTGTGGGTGGTCGGGGCTCGTGCAGCCCGGGTCCTTCAGAGGCTGGTGTCACCGCCCCCCGGGGCTTTGAGGGGTCACAGGGCAGGTGGGCCCCAGGGCACCGTGTGCATGGAGGCCCCTCCTGGCAGGAGAAGGTGACCATCCCACCTCGTTTAACTTCCGTGGGATTCCTTCCGCACCGCCCCTCGGCCACGGACCCGCCAATCGGCAGACTTGCGGCCTTCTTGCTCGCCCACAGTGCGGCTGCGACACGCTGGCCACCCGGGACTCACGAGCCACTGCCGCCTGCCCCTCACGGTGGGTCCCCGGGTTCCTTCTCAGCCACCACTCGGCCGGGATCGGGCAGAAGGTGGCCTGCGGGCCCTGCTCGGCTATTTCACCTGAATGTCCTGCACTCCCCGTGGGGGGAAGAGCAATCCTTCCCTTGCCCTCCTGACCAGGACACCACTCTTGGGGGCGCCACCCACATCCTTCTCATCAGACGTGCCTATTCATTGCAGTGTTTCGGCCAACGGCGGTCCTGAGACCAGCGCTCAGTGGCAGTGCCGTGTCCGGCCCCGTCTCCCAACATCGTCTGCAGGTGCAGTCTTGGGGACACGGGCCCTGTCCCCATGCAGGGCTGCTGATAGACTGGGGCCTCTCTCCTGAGCAGGGATGTCTGCACGTGGGCGGCCCTCTGCATCCCTGTGCCAATGCCACGCTGTTACTGCGGACTCGTTTAATCAGCGAATTCGAAACAGCCAAATCATTCTGGAAGAACCCAGAGCGAGTTCTTACTCCGCAGATAAGTGAGTCTGCAGGGGCAGGCAGCGTGGTATGAGCTGAATCTTCCACAGAAAAATGGGCAGGACTTTGACTAGGCTTGCGTGAAACCTCCAGATCGCTCTGCAGAGGTGGACGTCCCGGCCTAGCTGGGTTTTCCGATCAACGAATGTGGAGTGCCCCTCAATGTCCTCCTGTTTTCCTTAATTTTCCCGAAAGGATTGTTGTTTTCTGTGATGAGGTTTGCACACCTTTCACCAGATTCATTTCTCTGCATTTGCTATTTCTGTTGCCATCATGGCAATTTCAACGTTTTAATTTTCTGTTTGTGGCTTAGATAGAACTATCTACTAAAATTGGACTTTCTACTGACATGATCATATCACCTGCAAATTATGACACACAGTGTATCTTGTTTTCTAATAGTTCGAGTCTTATTTCTACTGTTAACTGTTACAATTTTTACTACTTTTTCTTGCTTTATTGCACTGGTTAGAATCTCTAGTCCAGGGTTTAATAGAACTTGTAGTGACAGGCATTCTTGTTGTGATCACGATCTCCAAGACCTTTCAGCGATTCACCGTCATGTACGACACCTGCTCTCAGTTTCTGTGTATCTGTCATAACAAGAAATCTACTCTCTGTTCCTAGTTTGTTAGAATTTTTTTCAAAAAATCACGAGTGGAAATTAAGTTTTATCAAATGCTGTTGCTGAATCTATTGAGATTACCGTATGACTTTCCACTCTGTTCCGTTTATGTACTTGATTACATTGATTCATTTTAAGACTGTTACCCCAACCTTTCATTCTGAGAATAAACCTAATGTAGTCCGGTTCTAATATTTTTATGTATCAATGACTTTGAGTTTATTAGTGCATCTGTTTAGGGTCTTTGCCTCTAAGCTCAGAAGTGGTGGATGGATTGACCTGTGTGGAATGTCCTCTGGTGCCCATGTCAGGTTTTGATATCAAGATTAGGCTGGCTTCAGAAACAAGTTGAGGAGAATGGCCTTTTTGCTAGTGTCTGAACGGGTTTGTGGAAGGTTGACACAATTTCTTAACTGTTGATAGAATTGAACAGAGAAGTTAATCTGGACCTCAAGTTTTCTTTATGAGAAGAATGTTGATTCCAGAGCCGATTTCTTTAACAATTGTGCAATCATTTAGATTTTTCTGTTAACTCTGTAACGGTTTTAACTTTTGTTTTTCAAGGAATATATCCATTGTATTCACACTTCCTAATTGATTAGCATAGTCTTTTTTTTTTTTTTTTTTTTTGCCTTCAGGATCTAGTAATTTCTCCCTTGTTTCTCCCTGACATCGGCTATTTGCTATAAATCACCCCTCTATGATTTTCTTCTTTTTAATTTCTTTAGAGTTTTTTAAATTTTTTAAAATATTTATTTATTTTTGAGAGAGAGAGAGAGA